GTAAACGTAGACGTAAATGTAAACCGATGAAACTTGTAGATATAAATCGCTCACTGCACAGATTTATGAACAACGTACGCCAAATATTGAATCCAAATTTTTAGCAAAGCTTTCGCATGCAAACACAAGGAATAAAGTGAACAGTCTATCAGTTCATTTTTGAAAAATATGGTGCAAAAGGATGCCGAAAGAATACCCTAAAAATTCCTTACACACAAATTCAGTTATGTCTCTTCACAGCTGAATCATCCTGTTGAGTAAACGATGGCAATAAACAATAAGGTGCTGAATAATAATAACCTTAAATGGCAATTTCGTGTTTTTAAAAATATTTTCTCATATGGTTTATGGTTTTTTTGGTGCATATTCGCATACAAAGTACCGTTATTGTAACGATGCTGCTACTGCATCGTTCATTAAAACGGTGATTTGGAACTTTATGAACAGTCGATTGGAGCCACAGAAAATTTCTCAATAGGCGACGGATTCCATTTACTTGCAATACACTGCTGTTGCCAAGCACAAAAACTTATGAAAGAGTAAAACTCCAAAAACCTAGTTCTGTTGCACGTCGCCATCTCGAATGTCACTATGAACAACAACGTCATCCGTCAGAGAAGCCAAGTTAAGTACTTGAGAATTGTCACTGATGAAAAACATCATGGCCTCATCAAACGACAGCGGCTACGCTAAAAGTTCTGAAGGCATCGCACTACGCGCGAATATTTTTGGTCCCAAAACCAGTGACATAAAAGTTGCCAATTTTAGTATTATTGCACTTTCACTTAAAACCTCCAGAGTATTCGCCAAAGGCCTCATTGGTAAAGGTTCTGAAGGCCGTGCTGTGCATTCAGTCACAATGCTCCTTGGTATTTCAGTTAGTTCATTAGGGCAGTGGAAAAAAATAAAATTTGTATCCATTGGAATGTCGGTCTTCATTACATTTTAATGAAGAAGCCATTTTTGACGCTCTTCTTTTCATGAAGTTAATGGTGAGGCACTGCTCTGCATTTCGGTGCCATCAGCCAGGAGTGCCTTATTTTTGAAGATCGAGTTGACAACAGTTGGGTGTAGTCTCCTGTTCACTTCCCACCAAATGGTACTAATTAATCAACCTCAGAAAGAGGAAACGCAAGTGACCCAATCAGAACCCGAACCCAAGATCTCTCAGTCAGTTCTGAGTCAGACGCTCTATCGAATGAGCAGTCCCGGAATATAGCAAAGAGAGTTGCACACGGTCTCTCTAACGAAGATCCAGGACATGGAACGAGCATAAACATAAATAAACTGAATCATCCCCTACACAACAGTCTTTCACACTGTTGTGCAAACATAGTATGCAGGTTATTGGAGCAGGGCAATAAGTACGCCGAGAACTTCCAACTACAGAAGTTCCGTAGTCCCCCCTCCCCTCCCCGTCCCCAAGACTGCGCGCGCCCTCTACAATCTAAAAGCAACCTCACATTAAGTTTGGCTTCGGTCGATATGAGGGATCTGTGGTCAGAGTTTGCCCAATATGTATAAACGTCGGTTTTCCATCTCATTTTTTTGTTGTTCTTAATGTCTTGTGAAAGGCGATATCGTTTCTGTTTGAGCTTAAGCAATAAATTGTCGTTTTATACATATTTCAATGGTTCTTAACGCAAAAGTTGATTTCTGCGAAAAACTGACTGACCGAGCGTTGCTTTCGATTGTGTTGATTTACGCTGCCAGACTCAGGCTGCTGGTGGCTGTCGAGAACAATCGACTAGATTTATAGAAAAAAAGACGTTACGTGACGATCGCAGACTGACACCGCGAAATAGAGACAATAACTGCAACTGTGCAGACATTTACTGACGATGACGACCTGGACAAGAAACGAATGAAAGAAGTCGCTTACATTCGCAGGTGTTTCAGCTTGTCCAGGTTACAGCTGTGACAAGGAAGCGCCCATGTAAGAAGCATGAAGATCAAACAGTACACGGTCGCTAAGCCTGAAATACACATAAGTACACAATATTAGAACATCGAAATCCACGCACGATCACCAGAAACAGAATGCGCGTACCAACGTAGAAAAGGAACTGCAGGAAATACTTCTGGTTGAACTCGCCGACGCAGTTGTTGATCCATGGGCAATGGTGGTCCATTTTGCGGATGCAGCGTCGACAGATGCGGCAGTGATGTGCACGCGGTGGGCGGTACGCCTCGCATCGGCCACACACCGACCAATCTTCACCCTGTAATTTCTATATCACAGCGGCGGAAAGTTTAGTCCGACGAGTGCGGACGACGTACCACAAACGGCTTACGTTGCGTGTCAGACTCTGAGTCACTATCTGGGCAATCGTTTGAATTCAGTTCGGAAAAGTCTAACTGCACGCTGGGCATTGGCACGATGCCCGGGTCGGAAAACATGGCACGCATGTGAGCGAACAATAACCCAAAAAGTATCGTGTTGAACAGCATAACGTGAAATGATGCCCAGAGACTAAAGTTCCAACCAAAAACATTCATCAAAGAATGTCAGGAATGACTATGAACACAAACATCAAAACTTTACGTACCTTTCAGACCAAAACGGCGGAATCAACCAAAAGATAAACACATAGTCCGCATACCCAACAAATAAGTACGTCAAAATCACGCACAACAGTCCACAAGGATCCCACCGGAAGATCATGACATAATTTCCCTAAATTAAAGTAACTTAATGTTCAATGAATTTTCATGCAAAATTAATGCATATTGATGTATATATTTAAAGATGACATTACCTACAGGAGTTTCAGTCACGGTCACGTAAGCTCTGAGAGGCGGCGTACAGAGAGGCTTAAATGGAAGCAGTATGATGTAAGACAAACAATACAAGGAAGTTATAGCAACGTATGCCTTAATTAAATGTGCTTAATAATGGTGGACCATTTTCAAGTACCGTGGAACTGCCTCAAGTAACGATGGAGACATTGAAACTGAAGTGAACCAGCATATTCGACTGAAATAATCGAATTTCCGTTTCATAGCTGTACGACAATATATGGAAAGATTAAACTTTAAGAACGGATACGACGATCAAAATTCAAAAAAGAAACAGCTGCATTCGTGGTGCTCATGTGCGTCTCAAAACATCTGCCGTTCTCAAGCGAAATAAAACTCGTCTATACAGCTTTCAACAACACTGTCTGCGCAATATCCTCAAAGTATGATATAACCTGCGGGTCACGTAAGAGCATGTGCTGAAAACCACCGGTCACAGGAAACTATCAGACGGACTGTAAGACCAACTCCTTGCTTCGGTTGATAAAACAGCGCAAACACAGAATGGAAATATATTCTAAATTGTTCTCTCTTGGGAATCGTGATCCGGAAGTAGACGCGTTGGAGAACAATACAAAACGTGGAAACACCTCGTTAGCACAGACCTACTTTCGAAAAGGAATATGATCTTTGCCACAGCAATGAAGATTGTCCAATATCAATCTGACGCACCGTTTCTAACGCTCAGACATAAATCTGAGTTGCTCTGCCATTTAAACGCTTAACCTCGAACGACGATGACAAACCAATAGCAAAAATATTGGGAAATTTTAGTATTTGTGTTAATTCGCTTTCTAAAAGTGGTCATGTGACGACAGCCTCAGCGAGGGGAGTTTGACCTGCTGATTAAGGTTTTAATAAGATGAGAACATCTGCAACTCCGCCATGAC